TGTGGCCCTCCAGCTGACTTCCGTATGCAGTTTGCATAGGATTCAGATTTGTCTCAAGACCGTCCTTGAGCTTGCTGATCACCTCGGAGGCACCGCCATCCTTTACCGCGTTTTCAACCATCTCCATGTCATCGAATTTGTCGGGATTTCCCAAACTGATGTTTTCCGCCAACGTGAGGGGGTACAGTTTATGGTCTTGCGTTAAGAGCGATTGGACCCGTTGGAGGTCTGCTAGTCGATAGTTTTTTATGGGAATTCCATCCACGAGGATCTCGCCCGAGTCGACGTCGTACAACCTCTGAGATATCCGAGTCAGACTGCTCAGCCGCGGAAATTGAATTAATGCCATACATTAAGGAGCTTGATCAGTGAAGATTTACCGCTCCCGTTAGGACCGACAATGACGACCAGGTGGCCAGCAGGAATCTTGAAGGAGAGATTCCGGATGGCATTTTCTTTCGATGTTCCGCCGGGATAGGAGAACGACACATTTCTGAACGGATTAAATCGGTGGAAGCGGACGAAGGGAAAAAATATTCCCTCACCTCAATTCAAAGGCCATTCCCTTGTCGCTGCTGAGTGTGGGGTTCGGATACGGCTGATCGCCATCGACGATCTTATTTTTCACGTCGGCCATCTTGTACAGGTCCTTGGTCATTATCACGCAGTCTTGAATTCCCGAGACCTCGGAGAACAAGACCGAAACGGTGAACCGAAGGGCTTGTGCGTGCTGTTGCAGAATTGCAAAGGATGTGATGCTAAACGCTCTGGGGTCGAACAAAACACTTGCGGCCCAATAAAACTAGAAAAAGTTGAATCAAACATCATCAAACTCTTTGGACGCCCGATACACACCGTTGGCAGGTCCCCACTCAGATTCGTCAATATGTTCGGGATCGGGGTCGGGTGAGTGGAGTATATTGCGTGAGGGCTTGCGTCAGAAATTTTGCCGAGGGCCTTTCTAGCCCTTTCATACTCTAGGGGAGGATCTGAGACGGCAAAATTTCGAAGAACCGCGATAGTCTTACCTCTGACTATCCAGGTGCCTACATTTCCCGCGATGATCTCTTCTCGGTATTCTTCGGACACGAACATGTTCAGGGCGCCAACGCGGAGGTAGTCAAAATTTGAAGCATAATATATGAAGGCTGGCATGTCCCTCGGTCAGAACGCAACTCAGGTCTCAAATGGGCGACCCACCTCCTTTCCACGGATTTCGACGAAGAAGCCCAGTCGTCAGTACGGGACTGACGAGCGAAAGTAGGGTAAGCGTTATCCCTCCACTTGGTTGCTGGACCGTGAAAACCACTTGTGAGATTAATCTGAACAATCGTTCGAACACGCCACACAAAAACTGGAAGTTGTGCCAGATATAGAAAGTGTGAACTCCGGATCCGGTGTTCTTGTCTGGGCGAATACATGTTGGTGCAAGGCCATGAGGAGTTCCGTGCACTCACCTGCAATTGTGGGCAAGTCAAGACGCAGCCTCTCTGTGACGAGTTCAATACCGCGACGCTTCATCGACTCGATGGTTCACAAACCTTTTAACATATATTCTTGAAAATGTGCCGTGATTTCCCGCTGGAGGTTAGGCGCTACATGGTGTCTGGAGAACCATTCAATCATTTTTTCCAAGTCCGTAGTAAATTGAATTACATCGACCATTGTAGCGTCGACGAAAACACACCGCACATTGCCCGCAACACCACGGCGCGCAAGATAGCGTTAGAATCAGGGCGGCCGCTGATCAATCCAGTTTCAACCTGGAACGGTGTGAGGCGAAAAGGTACAGAGTGCGACGGAACGTACGGTTCGTAGCAGTAGACCAGAAGCGTAAAGCATTAGCGTGCCCTCGATACCCGCGCAGAGCTTCAATATGAAGAAAAGTAGAATCATCGTGGGATTCAACATGTAGATCTCCCGCGTGAAACGCCAAAGAAGAAGGACAGTGGACTTGAGTTCTTCCCATCTGATCCACGACAGTGAGAACGTCGGCACCAGTCTACTGGCTGCCGACTCTATGGGGAGCAAGAGACGCCATACTCCGAGCTGCACCGTGGTGTAAGAGTAGTCCTCTAGTTCGTCTGCCTCTACTTTGTCTGCTTCTTGGGGTGTTTTCGACTTTTCCATGGCGACTACGTGGAGGGTCTGCAAAAGACGCTGAGCAGAGCGTTAATATAGCTGCTATCGGGCGCCAATCTTGCAGCGTGGTGATGGGCGCCGTTTCCAAGTATGTAAATCGATGCATATATGCGGGAATCCCGGATCATTGATGCAAAGGGGAATCGAACCTTCTTTTGGGCGGTTGGGATTTTTGGACAAAGTTCTCGCCTTTGCAGTTCTGAAATATTGCAAGAGTACTCACACTTAGATCAGGCCGGACCGGCGTTTGTCCCTGCATCGTCAGCGACGCTCGAGTGACTACACGTGGGTTAAATAATTGGAATGTTCATCAATCCACCCGGTCCGCATATCCATTTGCCACGTCCCAATCGTAAAAGTGAAATCAGGAACCTGCAAATGCATCGGAGATGAGCGGGAGTTGGCAATCACACGGTTGTCCGGCCTCACGATCGACTTTTCTAGCGCGTCTCGCTGCGAGAAATTTTTTACTTCCCGAGATCGCCGAAGTCGTATCATGTCGGCCGAGAGCGGAGGACGATTTCGTCACGTGGAGTGAACCAACTTTCCCACGTCACTCCGACCGTTGACCGCCATGTTCCTCCTCCGACCACTGGCACCACGAGTGCTTGGCCCTCGTTTCGCGTCGCTTACAGCTCGTTCTGCTACCCTCGCGTACTCCAGTAATGCGCCCTCTACGCTCCCAGATTCGGAGTCAAAGCCTCGGAATCGGCGTCTCGGTAGACGTGACGGCCGGCTGCAACTCCTGCTTTCCACCCTGAATCCCACCTTACTGCAACCGGAGGACTATTTGGACCTCTCCGGCATGAAACAACGTTATATTGGATTTACCCACGTACCCACCGGTCCCACCCCTTGTATTCATTACTGGGGGAAAGGCGTGTTCCCGGATGACTGTGCTGGGTTCCTATATTACCATCGAGAATCCGGTGCCGCACCGCTTGAAGGAGGAATTCGCTTTCGTCGTACTCGAGATCATCGGCCGTCCTCCTTCCCGGGAGGTCACGACCTGCTCCTCCCGTCAGGAGCGCCGTGGGAGCTGATCTTGCCTCAAGTGATGCGACCTTCGTATCGGCGTCTCGCTGATCAGCTCCTCCACGAGAATCTCGCCACCACAGCCCAACTGGACCTTTGCCATAGGATCTTCACTCCCATGGGTCGCATTTCGGCGCCTTTAATTATTTTCCGCCACACCCAAACGTTCCCGTTCAACTTTGGCGGCCCTCTCCGGCTCACTGTTGTGGGCTCTAGCGCACTGCACTCCGCTACAGTGGAGCCGTCGTATCAAAGATCATCGAACTTCGACAAACGGTTCCCTTTCGCTGGTAAGTCATCCACTCCAAGTTTGTCTGCGTTTCCGTCAATGACTTGTTTCCCCTGCAGGATCAGCCATCGCCCGGTTTGAGCCCTCGGCGATGGATGGACGTCGCGTCCTCCACCTGCGCATTGTTAAGATCATCACACCCTTCGTGTGCACTAATGACAAGTATAAAGCTCGGGTTGTGCAACCAGAGGAAGGGCAGTTGTTCATCGGGGTTTCTCGCAGTGGCGACCGACCTTGGGAGCTCGATCTTAACGGACCCTCCAGGGCCGCGGCTGCCTTTCGAGTTCTTTGGAATGCGAGCGATTCCTCGGCGCTACGGAGTCTCGCAATATGAATGATTTTTGTACTGGTTGTTCGTTGAGATCTGTAAAACCTAAAGGTAATGCGGAACTATAACGCCCGTATCACGACCCCTTGCTGGCGCGTCCTCAAATCAGGAGCTTCTTGATGTAGCACCTGCGTTGAGTATCCTGCTCCAACTCCACGCACCCGAAATTCTCTAAAGTAGCCCGCTCGGGATCTCGAGAATCGAGATCCAGCGATTCACTTCCCACACATCCAGAAGCGCAGCTATACTAACTCCGTCGCGGATCTTTCCGCGCTGACTTTCCGAGGAAGATACCCCGATCCCCCGCCCTGCACCCCCCTCTGGTGCAAAATTACACATTGAATGCAATGTGCGTGAGTGTCGGGATGTGCGCCCAGTCGGTACAGCTGGTGCGCAGTTTATACGCGGACGTTGATGAGTCGTCCAGCAACTCCATATGCATGATGTTGCGGAACACACGATGGATAAAGTCGATGGACCTGGTGTTGGCGAAGAGGTTCGGTCGTATCGGTACACAGATAACGCAGGCCGTGAAAAGACCATCGCGTCTAGGAGTACGAAATAGGGCCGGCATACAGCTCAACTTGAGTCCGACCTGGAGCACTCATTGTTGCAAGGACAAATTGCGGACGCAGGTCAGGTGCGATACCTGACGCCGTTAAAAGGACTGGACGCGAACTGGCTCGCAGCTGTGAATTACATATGTGCCTTGAACGACTGTAGACGCCGTGTTCGCCCGTTCCATTCGGGCCCGGTCCATAGTCCAGGAACTTTGGAAGTCTTTTGGACCGCATTTACAGTAATACAGGAAAACCCATCAGCAGTAGATTATTTTTCACGCAGGCTGAGCATGAGGCATCGGGATATGCCCGCGCGCCGAAGGTACTACTCTTCGAGCCTTTTCTTGAACGGCCGTGAGTACGCAGACGCTCTCGGATAGTTCCTGCCGGGTCAACAGACGTTCGTTCCGCCAAGAATGTACGGCATTCGGAGGATCGGACACCGAGAGGAGTAGTTCGCCCGGCGCAGCGATTCATTCTGTGTGAGTTCCAAAGGTCCAACTTGAACTCCAGTTTAATCGAAGATAGGTTTAGACGCCGCCAGGGTTGACGTTCGGTTGCATCAAAGTGGGGATTTGGTGTCTAATTCTCTGGCACCGTCGGAAATACTTTGCGGTAAACGTGGATTCAGATACAGTAGAAATAAGCCTTCGCAGATCAGTGGTGATCGTCCCGCTAATCTGCATTTACAAACATTGCGATCACGGGAAGGTGAGGGTTCGACTCCCGCCGAAGGCATTAAAGTAGGGTCGCTGCGTTTTGCGTCGTGTGCGGACCAGGGATTTTGCAATTTGCGTTGATATGGGAAGGACGGACGATGGAAGTTGGACATGATGGTGATCCACGAAAGGAGCAGTGCGAACTGCCCCGGCATTGATATACTTTGAGTGGTTGGGTTCGAGGACGCGGGTGGTTCAGTGGATGGTAGTCTCGTGCAATGAACGTGGGGTATCCTCGAAGGGAGACGTCGGCGAACCACCGCGCAAAGGGCGAAGGACCAGCAGCAATAATTTAGACCGGCTGAAAATGTACAAGAAAGCAAGAGTACTAGTACAGTGAAACAGATAGATTGCCGGAGGCCTTCGCAGATGTGCGGCTATCGTTCTGTTTAATCATGCTGCGTGTGATTTCGGGAAGGTGGGTTCGATCATGCGCAGGCGTAGGCGAGAACCTAAATTGGCTTTTTCGACCTCGTCGTGAACCGGAATCCCTGGATCTAGAGTAAGGACCGAGCGACGGGGCTTGAACGTCGTAATTCCGAGTCGGTTTTTGAGAAGTTTGCATCTGGTCGACACGAGGTTACCGGACGCAGGAGTTTGGAGAGTTGTCGTCGAGGGACCTGGCAATAGATATGTCGAAGCCCTACGGCGAGGAACAGGCCTTCGCAGAGTAGTGGTGATCGTCTGTGTACGCTTTCCCTGAAGACGGAAATACGGGAAGAGGAGGGTTCGAGTCCCTCCGAAGGTATAAAGAGGATCGGTTGTTTTTTTGGTATCGTCTTTGAACCGGAGGGTTTACAGATATTTGCGTCGATTGATCAGGGAGCGATGGGGATCTGGACAAGATCTGCCGAGGTAGAGATGTAGGGCTCGAGCCTCGACGGCGGAAATTCTGGAGGTCGCGAGCCGCAATATACTCAGTCAATGAGCTGAGCAACTCTGCAGCGAGTATTGCAAGCCTTGTAAGATCTGCGGTTATCCGTTAACCCAGTGATATATGGGATTGGGGGAAGGTCCCAAAGGCGTGGAAATAGAGTCTTGATTTTTTCTGCACCGTCGTGAACCACATCCTGGCTGAGCTAAGTCGAAGGACGGCTGAAGCCAAAACGTCGTTTTTGAACATACGCCTCAGATGATGCGAGTGAACTCAATTTCTTGTGGTGTTTGCGTCCATAGAATGCGAATCCGGTCGAAGTCCATAGCACCCAGTAAATAATTATTGCGGTGGTACGGGGCTGGCTGTCGGCGTAGAGAGACGATAAACGTCACTCGCATGGAGGTAGTGGACCCAAGAACACGGTGAGAAGTAGCCTGTGAGTATCTTTTGCTTGAATCCCTGTTGAGAATGTAGGAGACTTGAAACGGGCTAGGCTTTCCAAACGAACCGCAGAGTTGGATGTCGGAACGGACAGAATCTAACGAGGAACGAGATTAAATGTTGAAGCGTCTGTCTTTGAGAGACTAGACAGAATCCACGAAGAAGATTTGAGCTCCAGTACTTGAGATGGTGGCAAAGTGAGGCTAATGTCATGTCCCGAACAAGTCCCGAAGGTGTGAACTTTGAAGAGTACAGTACTGGTAGTCGCGCGGCGAGCCTTGCCCGCAACAGGATCGCCGTAGCTTCGTGCGCGGCGCACGCGTTGAAAACAGGAGATGGGCTTGAGATGGGCGAAGCTGAGATGGAAGTCGAGCACGCGGAGCGCAGCTGATCGGGGATGTCCGTCGGCAGTGTTGATCATCAACGGAAAATCCCTGCCGACAATGCCGTCACCTCTCCCCTTCCTTTTCTCCCATGACCATGGACGGGATTTGTAGGGCGGTACACGCTCCTGCCACCCGAATGCAGGAAAGTCACGAATATTAACTGCCGAGAGCCGGGGCTCCCAACCCCAAAGGCTTGAGCCTTGGGCGCAAATCTCCCTCCCCGCAAATCCCTCCGGGAATAAGGGAACCCAACAAGTTGCGCAATTGATTATTGCGATGAGCCATACGGCAGCGATCACCCGAGTTTCTGGCTACTACAGATCTGCAGCACAGGCCTACCGGCGCTACCGCGACCAAACCGCAACCTACCGCAACCACGAGTGTCACGGTAAGAAATACCCTCGATCTGACCGGTGAGAACTCAAAGAAAACTCGCGAGAGTCGATGGGATGTCTTGAAACTGTGGATCCTGTGACAGGAAGAAGGAAGCCAAGGCGGTTGGCTGCGTTGAACTGATGCTTCGATTCCCGGTCACGAGCGGTCACGAACCTTCGCCTCTCGGCGTTCCGACGCGCGTAACCAAGAATAGAGCTGGGCTCGCTTCTAGACGCTGGTAGATTCGTTGCAGGTCAGCGGTCCTTCTCATGTGCTCCGCAGAGAGGCTTCATACCCACAGATCAAGCACGCATCGTGCTTGACGCGGTGTGGCTTAAATAAACCGTGTTCGCTCCGGGTCTTTCAGGAAGATGCGTTTCACACCCGCCTTGGCGCTCGCCGTCCAGCTTTCCCTTGGTTGGGCGGCCTCTGTCTCTGTTCAAACAACGTCTGGCCTGGTTACAGGCTCCCAGACCAATGGACGTGAGTCGCGCGTTGCACTTACTCGCCCGTATTGCCATTCTGACTCGTCTCCGCAGTCTCGACGTTCAAGGGCATCGTACGTGTGCCTGTGCTCTCCCAACGATCGTTGAACAACGTCCCAGCGATTCGGACAAGCACCAACGGGATCACTGCGTTGGGAGCCAGCCGTCGCGTTCACTTCGACTGCTGCCCAGAATGCAACGAGTTTCGGCCCAGCCTGCGTTCAACAATTCCCGTTCTCCGTTGCCACCATTAACGAGAAGATTTTCAATACCCCAGCAGTTCCCGAGAGCGAGGATTGCTTGTTCCTGTGCGTGTTCAATTGTCTGTCAGCCTCGTTAGCTTAGAGTTGATTTATTCGTCCAACCATCAGCAACGTGTGGGCACCCGCGTCAACCACCCCAACACCCGTCCTCATCTGGATCTACGGCGGGTGCGCAACACTACAACAATTCTCATGCGGTTCTGATTTCTTTCGGCCTTGCCTGTAGCGCGCTAGCCTTCGGAACCGCAGCCACCCCAGAGTACGACGGATCTACAATCGCAGCAAGCCAGAACATCACCGTGGTCTCATTTAACTACCGAACCAACGTCTTTGGATTTCCCACTGCCCCCGAGCTCCCGACGGCTGGAAATAATTTGGGTTTCCTGGATCAAGGTGAGTGCCGTTCCACGCTGACTTTTGAGAGCGCGGCCTGAACTCTGCCTCAGAGCTCGCGTTCCAGTGGGTGCAACAGAACATTGCACAGGTGTGTTGAATCCAAGGAAAATTGCACGCTACAACTAAACGACACTTCACAGTTCGGCGGCGATCCCGCAAAGGTGACAATCATGGTATGTTCCATCGCCACCCTTCTAGATCCCTTGAAGTCTTACGCACATCTCAGGGCCAATCCGCCGGCGCTGCCTCAGTAGCCGCCGCATACGCAAGCCATCTCCCCGGAACCGCGCCCTTCCGCGCAGCGATCATGATTTCAGGCGCCGTCGAGTCCCGCTCCACGACCCCGACTTTTACGGCATTCAACGCCATGGCTACCGCCCTTGGGTGCAGGCAAGCACCCGGCGCGGCGCGTCTGGCATGTCTCAAGGCCGTGTCCGCGACCACCATTCGCGTGTACACCAACGGCGCGTCCAGCGGCACCTGGACGTCTTTCGTTGACGGGTAGGTCCTCCCTACCATTCCCGCCATTATAATGAATTTGAACTGAGCTGAAATTAAATGCAATTAGGGCGACGATATTCTCCGACCCCCTCCAACGCATCCGGAATAAACAAACTGCGGGCGTGCCCTTCATGATCGGCCACACCGAGGACGACGGGAGCCTTTTCGCAATCAACCAGAACAACCTCGCAACCTACCTGAGCACCAACTTCGGCACGCTCGTCACTCCGGCGCAAGTGCGCGCGCTGTATCCAAGTGGTACGAGCGACAACCAGGTTATTTCGGATGTGGTGAAGGATTTCTTGTTCCTCTGGTCTGTGTGCCTTCTGTTTTTTCGTTGTATTGGTGCAAGTTTTTGACGGATTTAAAGCCCGGCGGAACTTTGGGGCGCCGCTGCTGTTGGGGCGGGCCAGCCGAACGTGTATCGGTATGCATACGGTATGCCAATTCAAACCTTTACATTCATTTATTGACTGATCGAACTTGCAGGCGCATCCTTCGCCAACGAACAACCCTTCGCCAATGCCGGCGCCTGGCACTCTTCCGATCGTACGTCCTCCCTCCCACCTCGTCTTTAATACCAAACCACCCCCAATCCCAGTCTTCGAGATCTTCGGCACCTACAACCGCACCGGCGCCACCACCGCCCAAGCCACCCTCGCCTCCACCATGCAAACAATCTACGGCAACTTTGTGAAAGACCCCACCACCCCGCCCGCGCCTAACTACGCAAAATACGTTCCCGGGGCGGGGACGACGACGCTAGCGAAGCTAGCGTATAGCGGGAATGTGGCGCTGGGGACTGTGGTGCAGGCTGCGGCGAGTAATTCGCTGGTGCGTGGGGTTCAATCTGTTTGTTTTCAAGTCGATTCGGTACTGATGCGGGAGGTTGACAGGATTCGCCGTGCGATACGCTGTGGAATAAGTTTTTGGATGTGAGAGAATAAATGAAGGGAGACGTGTGTAAGTGAAACGATGTACGCAAAGAAGGAATGTACACAAAGGGATGTACGCAGAGAAGACTAGTGGGCCAAAGATATGTAACTTGAAATTGACGGTTGAAAATCTGTTGATGTTGATGGTTGATTAATGTTGATTCTTTGAATTCCTCTCTGAGTTAAAAGTTTCCAACTGCGGTGCAGGGGGTTCAATGGTTCGTCTGGCAAGAGCTATGCAGGAAGAAACGAGCATCTCGACCTTGTTAGAAGCTTATCCCAAATCGAACGGGCTTAGGCTTCCCCTGATTACATTTCCGAACCGTTGCATAGAGCGGGTGGGACGCGCAGCCGCCATGC